TCATATATTTGTTTTTAATTTGACCAGCGAGACAGAGTGAGAACATGCGAGAGAGAGAATGGGAATGTGAGAAAGCAAGCCTCCTGGTATAGGATTTGAACTGCAATAAGCCATGAGGGAGTCCAGCGCCTTAACCACTACACCACCTGCTGCCCCTCCCCAAACATTTTAAAGTCTCCTTGTATAAACAGTCAATAAGCACAAGAAAAGATGCTTCATATCATTTGCCATCGAGGACGTGCCAGTTGAAACCGCAATGAGGTACCCCCTAGCAGAAGGTGAGACGACAGTGAACAATGTTGACAAAGTCCTGATGATGCAGTCGGCTGGTCTAAACCACAATGGTAAAATAACCAAAGTGAAGAGCAAAGAGGGGTGGCGTGGTATAAAAACGGAGAAGAGGAGGGTATACAGTCAATTTCCTGATGAGAGGCTAATACAGGGCCCTGCTTTCCAAAACCAAGGCCAGAGAATCTATGGAAGCTGTAAAAGATCAGGAATATTAAAAACAGTAAAGGGACCAGCAGTTAGTGTACTGGCTATGTCGCTGAACTCCCATATAATTGACTGTGGTTAGAGTCCCGGACCCAGCGGCTTAAACTCATGCCGGGTGCGTGTGCATGCATGTCCAAGATCCTGAGAGGAGAACGGAGGATTGTGGTGTGGCCACCTCCAGGTGTGTGTGGGGGGGTGATTTCTCACTTTCTGTCTCTGTCTCTCTTTCTGGCGAGCTTACACACCCTATAGCAAAAACATATCCCCCCAAAAAATTATTTTGTGGGGCCTGCAGGTAGTGTGGTGGTTAAGAGAGCTGAACTCACACATGGCTGCCTGAGGTTCTAGTCCTAGACCTGGCGTCTTGCTTTCTCATTTTCCATCTTTCTCTCTCTCTCATTCTGTCCCTATTTGATCAAATTAAAATAAAACAAATAAAATAGATAACGTTAAATAATTCTTTTTAAAAAGAACTATTTAATTATATTCACTGTCATTATTTAACTTATTTATTTTTTGAGGTTGATCAGAGAAAGACAGAGAGTGAGAAAGCAAGTTGCCAGGTCCAAGACTCGAACCACAGTCAACCATGTGGGAGTCCAGTCACTTTAACCACCAAGCCACCTGCCAGTCTGAATCTCTTTTTTTTTTTTTTTAAGAATTATTTGTTTAGGGGCTGGCAGGTGGCATGATGGTTAAAGCGCTGGACTCCCACAAGGCTGAATGAAGTTCAAACTCAGCAAGACCTGGCAGCTTGCTTTCTTACTTTCCCTTTCTCTCTGTTTTTGGCCAAATTTAAAAAAAGAGAAAAAAAATAGTAATAATAAATAAAATAAAATCATTTAAGTAATTATTTAATTTTAGTTATTCATTCATTCATTTTCATTTGACCATAGAAAGATAGACACACAGAGAGAAGGAAAGGGAGAGAGCAAGCTACCAGGTCCGGGTCTCAAACCATGTTGGGCATGTGGGACTGTCCAGTGCCTTAGCCACCATGTCACCTGCTGGCCCCTGAAATCATTCTTAAAAAAAAAAAAAAAAAAATTATTTAGGTACCAGCAGATGGTCTAGTGGTTACATTGCCGGACTCCTACATGGCCAACAAGAGTTCGAATCCCAGGCCCGGTGGCTTAAAAATCACGTCAGGTGCATGTGCATGCATTCCCAAGATCCTGGGAGAATGGCAGAGAAGGGATTTCAGCATGGCTGTCCCTCCAGAGGTGATTTCTTACTGTCCTTCTCACTGTCTGTCTCTCTCCAGCAAACACCCTAAAGCAAAAATCTAATAAAAATAATAATAAAAACACGTACATCTACACAAACATACCTAAAACCTCCTTTCTACATCAGAAGACGATCAGGGGGGCTAAACCCGCATCTTTCCGAGAGGAGGCTAAGACATCTAAAACTGAACCACCACGAAGAGCAGCGGAGCATACTGCTTTAAATTATGATGAAAATATCAGGGAAAACAGCCAAAATGAGTGGATGTCTTTTTCTTTTTTTAGCTATAGTGTATGTACACCCACTAGAGAGAGACAAAGAGAGGGAGAGGGACAAAGCACCCCCAGATGGGGAGTGCTCAAGCCACAATCCCTTCTCCATTTTTTTTAAAAATTTTTTTAAAATTTAACTTTATTTATTTATTTAATTTTAACTTGACCAGAGAGGGACAGAGTGAAAGAAAGATAGAGAAAGTGGGAAAGTGAGAAAGCAAGCTGCCAGGCCTAGGACTTGAACCACGGTCGGTCTTGTGGGGATCCAGTGCCCTTAATCACCATGCTGCCCGCTGGCCTCCCCTTCCCCATTTGTCTATCCTGTCAGGACTTGAGGACTTCCACACTTTTCAGGCTGGGACTTAAATTGCTATAGACCAGATCTCACACGGCCATTTGCTGGCTTGAAGTGAATGTCTTTGGTTCTCAGTAGACAGTCTAGAGGGGTAGTCTACAGGGACATTCTGCCATTTTTGTTACACTTTTTTCTTTTTTTTTTTAATTTAAATTTATTTGTTTACGTTCATTCACTGTACATCATTACAGCATACAAAATGAGATTTTTCCATCCAGAGGTTACAGTTTTAACTATATGCCTGTAATACTTTGATCTGTAAAAAGTAAAGCTTAATTTAGAAATAAATCTTGGGAACCAACAGTTAGCGTAATGGCTATGTCGCTGGACTCCCACGTAGTCGACCGCGGTTCGTGTCCCGGACCCGGTGGCTTAAAACTCACGCCAGGCGCGTGTGCGTGCGTGCCCAAGATCCCGAGAGGAGAATGGAGGAGAAGGGATTGCGGCGTGACCATCCTCCCTGGGGGGTGATTTCTCGCTTTCTGTCTCTATGTCTCTCTCTGTCTGTCTGGCGAGCGCACGTGCCCTACAGTGAAAATCTCTCCAAAAAAAAAAAAAAAAGAAAGAAATCTTCAAGCCTCCCACTCCATTTTTTTAAAGTTGAGGTATAATTCACATACCACGCAACTCATTCATTTAGTATATAATCAAATGGTTTCTAGTATATTAACAAGGTTGTACAAGTACCACCACAATCTAACTCTAGAATTTTTTAAAAAGAATTATCTAACTTTTTTGGGGGGGAGAGATTTTTGCTATAGGGGATGTGTGCTTGCCAGAAAGACAGAGATAGAGAGACAAAAAGCAAGAAATCACCCCCCAAGGGAGATGGCCACACTGCAATCCCTTCTCCATTCTCCTCTAAGGATCTTGGGCACGCGTGCACATGCGCGCAGCGTGAGTTTAAGCCGTGTCCAGGACTCGAAACATGGTTGACTACATGGGAGACCAGCGACATAGCCATTATGTCAACTGCTGGTCCTTTATTTAATTTTATTTATTCATTTGCTTATTTCAATTTGACCAGAGTGGAAGAGTGAGAGAGAGAGAGAGAGAGAAAGAAAGTGAGAAAGCAAGCCACCAGGTCCAAGTCTCGAACCATGGTCGGCGATGTAGGAATCCAGCGCCTTTAATCATCACACTACATGCCGGCCCCTAACTCTAGAATTTTTAAAAAATGTTATTAATTTTTTTTTACTGATTAATTGTTGCTAGAGGGCGTGTGCTCTCACTGGAGAGAAAGTGAGGAACCACCCCCGGGGGCGGGGGAAATGGCCACACTGCAGTCCCTTCTATGCCATTCTCCTCTCGGGATTTATTTTGGGCACACACACACAGCCTGGTATGTTTCAGGCTACTGGGTCCAGGACTCTTAACTGCAGTCGGCCATGTGGGAGTCCAGCTCCATAACCACTATGCCACCTGCTGGTCCCTAAAATTTATTTTTTAATTGACAAAAATTGTATATATTTGGGCGAGTCGGTGGCATAGTGGCTAAGGCACTAGACTTCCATGTGACTAACTGGGTTTGAGTCCCAGACCCAGCAGCTTAAAAATTATTCCAGGTACGTTATGTGTGCATGTGTGTGTGTGTGTGTCCAAAATTTCAAGAGGAGAATGGAGGAGAGGAAATTGCTGACATGGCCATCCCTTTGAGGAGTGATTTTTTACTTTCCCTCTGTCTCTCTTTGGCAAGTTGCACATGCCCTATGGCAAAAACCTAAAAAAGAAAAAAAAAGTATATATTTATAATATACATGTTTTGAAATATATGTTGTCAAATGTCTAAATTGAACTAATTAACATATGTATTACATCATACTTTTTATTTTTTTGTGGTAAGAACATTTAAAATCTGTTAGTGATTTTCAAGTGTATGTCACTATTATAGTTACCATGTTAGACAATAGGTTCCTTGAGTTTCTGTCCTCCCTTCCCCCTCTTATAGCTGCAACTTTGTATCCTTTGACCATGTCCCCAATACTTACCCACCCTGCTTCCAGAACATTTTCATTACCCCCAAAAGAAACCAGGTAGAAGTAGAAGGCCATCATGTGGCTTCTTGGTCTCAGTCTATAAAACCTTGCTACGTGGGTGCCCACATGGTCCTAAGGAGCTGGCAAGGCTAGGGAAAAAGGGTTATAAGACCCTAAAAAGGGTGCTCTCAACCTCTCTCTCTCTCCCACATACTCTTTATCATAAAAAGAAAAGGGGAAAAAAAAATGTCAATAATAAGTATTCTCGGGACCAACAGTTAGTGTAATGGGTATGTCACTGGATTCCCAAGTGGCTAACCGCGGTTCGAGTCCTGGACCCAGTGGCTTAAACTCACGCCAGGCGCGTGTGGATGTGTGCCCAAGATCCCGAGAGGAGAATGGAGAAGAAGGGATTACGGTGTGGCCTTCCCCCCGGAGGATGATCTCTCACTTTCTGTCTTTCAAGTGAGCGCATGTGCCCTATAGCTAAAAAGCAACCTCTCCAAAAATATAAATAAATAAGTATTCTCACCTACTTTTCTTTTTTTTAAGGCCAATATAGTTAGGCATAACAAGGCAAGTGAAAAAGTCCAAACCTAATACCCTGAAGCTTAAGGATGAGTCAGACTTCATAATCCACGAAAATGAATAGAAAGCACCTGGAGAAAAATGAAGTGTATGGATATCAGATTCCAACGAAACCCATTTTATTACAGAAAGCATACAAAGCTCTTTTCTGTGAAAATACTCTCCCTTTTCCAGAGTGATAGACGAGCCTGTCTCTCAGTTTCCAGCTTTCTCTATCGATACTTCCCATGTCGGTTAAAGTGTTTGTAAAGATAACTGATACGTTTGTTAAGGTTGTGCAGGTCATCAGAGAACATTCGATCTCCAACCATTTTCTTCTTCCGGATACAACGCTGTAATTCATTCCCTTTCCAGCCTCGGAGCCATCTGGGGCCCTTGATCAGTTCTTTTGGGTGCTTTTCAAAGTTTCCTGGGTAATGTGAGAGAGTGTATTACGAGACGATATTAGTTCCAAGTAAACAGAACCAAGCGTAGACCAGCTAGGCCTTCAACCACATTTGTCCCCTCTGAGCAACCTACAGACAGGACAGATTACAGTACAGTATCAAGAGCACAGATTTTAGAGCCAGACTGCTCAAGGTTCAAATGTTAAGACTGCCATTTACTGGCTTTGGAAAAATTATTACGCTCTCTGTTCTTCAGGTTCCTTACTTGTAGAGACATGGTTATTATGAAGATGAAATGAGTTGGCATATATAAGTATTATGGATACAGTATGTATATACCTACATATATATAGCATCTACATTAACACATGAGCACTGGATACAGTATGCATCTACCTACATATATATAGCATCTACATTACATACATGAGCACTCTTAACAGTACCAAGCATAATGTAAAAGTCATATAAAGAGTTGCTATTACTACTGAGCGCAGTACCACTCTGTACAAAGGAGAAAATAACAGAGGTTACAGCCTGCCACTGTGAAATTTTGACGTAAACCGTCTTACCCAGGATCCCGATATTGTCATACACTCCGAACATGGCCCTCTTTTCATTCCAACGATCAACCACTTTGGGAGGAGGGACGGTGAGCCTTACACGGGTCAATCCGGGAACACCTAGGGGTGGGGAAGAAGGAGTGAATCTGGGCCGCTTCTAAGAAACAGTTCTCCGGGCGTCATTCTACACCCACCACTTACCAAGAGAGAAGCTTCTGCAGGCCAGTGGCACACAGCCCCACAAGCTCCTACCCACCCCCCAAGAGAGGCTTCCCGCCATTGTCCTTGTTTCTCCCCCTCAACAGCATGCGCGTTAAACGAGCCCAAGGATAAGGACCAGACCAGGTGTGGCTCTCAAGCAGATGACGATGGGGACTGTGCCTGCGGGACTCACACTGACACTACGGTGGGAGCAGCCATCTTGGTCCTTACCCAGGTAGCTTTGTGGGCGCAGGCCACGCCCCAGCCGCGAGCCCCGCCCCCCAAGTTCCGGCCTACGGAGCCCCGGCCCACCCGCCCCGCCCGGTCGCTTCCGGTCTGTCCGCCGGAGGTTTTGCTCGCCAGAGCTGGGCGATGTGCTTGTTGCTGTCTAGGGCTCCCCCAAACTGACACTCGAGAAAGTTCACCTTTTTCCATTTCCTTGGGCGTCCATCAACTGTGAGCGAGATGAACGCCCAGAACCGGGAACCTGGAGCTTCGGAGTGTTCAAAGACCAAGCCCTTCCTCTGTGCCTCACAAGGCTTGCGGCTGTAACTAGTTACTCCGTTTTACAGGGACAAGAATTTGAAACTCAGACCGAAGTGACTTCCCGGACGTCACTTAGCGGAGGAGATGGCGAAACCTGGATGAGAGCCTAAGCTTTCCACCCCTCCGCCTGGACTTGTCTGTCTTGGGGGTGACTGACTGGCTCACTATTCCAAGGGCATACCACTGCCCAGCAAGGAACGCGACATCTCCAGAAGGCACTGCCAGGGTCCCCTCCTAACCGACCCGGCCAAAGAACTACCCTGCGGGGAGCGAAGCAGCCTCCCGGCGCAGGCGTGGGATAGTGGGCGGGGCCCGAGGCCTAGGGCCCGCCCCTTCAGCGGAGCGGCCGCTCTGCCGCTCCCGCGCTGCGATTGGCCACCCTCTGTAGCGAGCGTCGCGATTGGCCTTCTTGCAACCGTTGAGATTTGAACTCCATGTTTTTGGCTTTGCCCGCGCGGCGCCTGACTTAGAGGCGGGTCTTTATCTACCTCTCCCGGGGATTGGCCAGTATCTCCGCCAACTTGCAAACTGCCTCGCTGATTGGTACATGTTGCGCACTCGTGCTTTTTCCTTCCATTTCTGCCCAGCTCCCTGAGTCTGAGAAGCCGCGAGAGAGTTATTCAGGTAAGGGGTGTTATTGGGGAGTGGGAGTAGGGAGTGAAGGAGTGAGAAGATCGATAAGAGATAGTGTCCCGCAGTATTAGTGTACGGGAGGCCTAGTGGGTCTTTCCTTGTGTGCGATGAAGTGGAAACATTTAAGTCCGACACATCTGCAACGGGATGTGTGAATTAAAGGCAAATCGATGACCGTTTCTGAACATCAGTTTTTCTCATCTGTAAAACTGGGTTGTATTACACAGCTCCATTGGATTGAGATGAAAGGATTAGATCAGATACGATCATTCAAATAGCCTAACAGAACCTGCACGGGGTAAACAAATAACATTGATGTTTTCCCATTCTGGAGCCTGGAAACCCACTTACCCGTGCTGGGCCACTGTTCTGGTTTCAGAGAAGACATTTTCTTTAGTAAAGGAGCTTTGCACAGAAAAGCGGAAACAGTAACACATCCACGTGCCACTTTATGGTTCTGTAAACACTTTCTCCTACTGGTTGCATTTGATCCCCAGAACACCTTTGTGAAGTAATGGGATTAGTAGCCCTGTTTTATTCATGATGCCCAGGGGGTTAAGTGACATGACCAAGTTGCAGAGTCTCGACTAGAGTTAGATTCTAGCCCAGAGTTGATCTCACATTCTCTTAAGATAACATTCTCAGGTTTATTAAACTGCTGAAAACCATTGTATGCTAAAGATGATAAAAACCGGGTCAGAAAACAGACCTTAAATATAGATCCTGATGTTTCTGTCCTTTGACTTCCAGCCCTGTGAGCCAGCTGGAGAAGGATGTCTCCCCAGCTGTTTGAGTTCCATCTGCCCTTGTCCCCAGAGGACTTGTTGAAAAGTGGAGGGGTGAATCAGTATGTGGTACAAGAGGTATTGTCCATCAGACATCTTCCATCGCAGCTTAGAGGTAAGAATCCATACCTGCCTCTACTCCTGTCACTTCAAACAGCCACCCCAAGTGGGCTCCTGTTGTTTCTGTTCCTTCCGTGAGGGCAAGGGACGTATCCTTCCTATGTTCTTTTTAATTTTTTTTTAAGAAATACTTATTTGAGACCAGATGGCATAATGTTATGTCATTGGACTTCCACATAGTTGACCGTGGTTTGAGTCCCAGACCTGGTGGCTTAAAACTCTCACGTCAGGGGAACCAGCAGTTAGTGTAATGGCTATGTTGCTGGACTCCCACATAGTCGACCGCGGTTCGTGTCCCGGACCCGGCGGCTTAAAAACTCACGCCGGGCGCGTGTGCGTGCGTGCCCAAGATCCCGAGAGGAGAATGGAGGAGAAGGGATTGCGGCGTGACCATCCCCCCTGGAGGGTGATTTCTCGCTTTCTGTCTCTATGTCTCTCTCTGTCTGTCTGGCGAGTGCACGCGCCCTACAGCGAAAATTTCTCCAAAAAAATAAATAAATAAAACTCACGTCAGGTGTACGTGTGTGCCCAAAATCTCAAGAGGAGAATGGAGAAGGGATTGTGGTGTGACTATCCCCCCAGGGGGGTGATTTATCACTTTCTATCTGTCTGTCTGTCTCTTCAGTGAATATACACGCCCTGTGGCAAAAATCTCTCTCTGGGGCTAGCAGGGGGCATGGTGGTTAAAGGTGCTGGATTCCCACATGGGCGACTGCAGTTCGAGTCCCAGACCTGGCAGCTTGTTTTCGCACCTTTTCTCTCTCTGGTCAAATTGAAATAAATAAATGAATACAGTTAAATAGAGAAATTTTTTTAAATCTCTCTCTTAAAAGATTGTTACTTAATGATGCTTTTTATTATTATTTTTTTTTATTTGACTAGAGAGAGAGAGAGACAGAAAAAGAAAGTAAGCCACAAGATCCAGGACTCAAACTGGTCAGCCGTGTGGGAGTGCAGAGCCTTAACCACCACACCACCTGCCAGCCCCTCAATCCTGCTTTCTACTCTTTCCTTTCTAGCGTTACATGGGATGAGTTACACAAAGAGTATATAGAGTATGCTCTTTAACTTCCTTCCTTGGATTATTCAGTAAATAATCTTTTTTTTTTTTTAATTTGTAGAAGGGCATGTTCACTCACCAGAGAAAGTGAGAAAGCAGATGCCAGTGGGGATGGCCATGCTGCAATCCCTTCTCCTCCATTCTCCTCTTGGGATTTTGGGGATGTGTGTGCCCAGTGTGTTTTTCAAGTTGCCTGGTCCATTTGAACCATACTGTGAGCCATGTGAAGTCCAGCCACTTTAACCACCATGCCACTGTCTGGCCCTCAGTAAACAATCTTTTTTAATTAAGTTCTTGGCAAGAAACTTAGATCACCAATTTGTGAAGATAGAATTTTATTTGTAAGAGCAAACACAGATTACAGGTAGCCCTGGAGCTAAGGAATAACTTTTTTTTTTTTTTTTTTGAGAGGTTTTCACTATAGGGCGCGTGCGCTCGCCAGACAGACAGAGAGAGACATAGAGACAGAAAGCGAGAAATCACCTCCCAGGGGGGATGGTCACGCCGCAATCCTTTCTCCTCTCGGGATCTTGGGCATGCACGCACACGCGCCCGGTGTGAGTTCTAAGCCACCGGGTCCGGGAAGCGAACCACGGTCGACTACGTGGGAATCCAGCGACATAGCCATTACGCTAATTGCTGGTTTCCCTAAGGAATAACTTTGATTTTGGGTAAAATTTGCGAGTCCACAGCTTTCTGATCAACCTCGTGCTGCTCTGTAATGTCGTATTTCTCTTTCTCTGTGTCGAAGATCTCTCCTTCCTGGTGTCTGGGCTTCCGCAGCTTCTTTTTCTTAAAGTAAGCATCAGTGAGGTGTTTTGGGATTTTCACTTTGCTAATATCAATTTTTGGAGAAGGCAATGACAAGTTTTTGGTGTGTTCTATACAGTGGAACTTGGTTGAAAACCAGAGGTCCAGTCATAAGTAGCAGCCACTGCTCAGCTGCTTCAGGAAAACCACTCTCTTGCCTCTGTGGCGCCCAGGGAGGATGAGCAGAATGGGCCCGGGAGTGATGCTGGCTCGCAGCTTTCTTGACTGAAGCATTTTTTCTGTGGCTCAGCAGCTTTCAAGGCCCATCTTTGGTAGGATAATACCTAGGCATTTTGCAAACTTAACCACCTGGATATCACCATTCTTGTTCCCACCAACTGGTTTTATGACAAGAACCTTCTTTTCCTTTCCAATCCTGTATTTAGTGGCTGGGTATTTCCTCTTGTGCATGGCTTTCTTGGAATACATGGCAGACGGGGGGAGAATATCTGTCCCTGCCACGGACTAGGGCCAGGTGTTGGTTGCAGTGGGGCTTCCCCTATTTGGGCTGCTTAGTCTTGGGGTCACCCTTTTTTAAAATTTATTTATTTATTTATTTGTGTGTGTGTTTTTTGTTTTTGTTTTTTTAAGAGATTTTTTTGCGTAGGGCACGTGTGCTTGCTGGAGAAACAGACAGTGAGAAGTCACCCTCAGGGAAATGGCCATGCTACAATCCCTTCTCCTCCATTCTCTTCTTAAGATTTTGGGCACGCACGCACATCCACCTACCATGAGTTTTAAACCTCTGGGCCCAGGACTCAAACTGCGATCAGCCATGTGGGAGTCCACTGACATAACCATTACACTATTTGCTGGTCCCAAGGGGTCACCCTTCTTGGCTTCAGGTTTCTCCTTGGTATCCAGCTTCTCAGCTTTTTCACCTGCCGTCTTATATCGTGGGAAAGAGCTGTTGTGCATGGTTACTTTGTAGGAGAAAAATGTTTTATATTTACATCCTTTCCCATATGCAAACATGAAGTGCTAGTGAGCTTGAGTTAGAGAAGATCGTTTCCTCAGAGTGTCTGACACTTAACATGACTTCATTTAAATTTGACCAGAGAGGGAGAGAGTGAGAGAGGGAAAGTAGGAAAGCAAGCCGCCAAGTCCAGGACTTGAGCCACAGTCGTCTATGTGGGAGTCCAGCGTTCTTAACCACCACGTCATCTGCTGGCCCCAGCATGACTTGTTTTAGATGATGCTTTTTTAGAGCTTTTTTCCCCCGAGATGGGGGGGGACTTCTACCTAACTATACACACATATATATACATAGACACACACACATACAGTTGCAACACTATGCAGTATGTCTAAGGGGTCTTCAGAAAGCTCATGGAGGGGAAACCAGCAGTTACCATAATGGCTATGTCGCTGGACTCCCACGTAGTCGACTGCGGTTCGAGTCCCGGACCCAGTGGCTTAAACTCACGCCGGGCAGGCGCATGTGCGTGCATGCCCAAGGTCCCGAGAGGAGAATGGAGGAGAAGGGATTGCGGCATGGCCATCCCCCTCGGGGGGGATTTCTCGCTTTCTGTCTCTCTGTCTCTGTCTGTCGGGCGAGGGCACACGCCCTATAGCAAAAACCTCTCCAAAAAAAAAAAAAAAAAAGAATATGTGAACTCCCAAGGAAAAAGAGAGAGAGAGAGAGAGAATGGAAAGGGGAGGAAGGATGGCCATTCTGCAATCCCTTCTCCTTCATTCTCATCTTGGGGTTTTGGGCATGCACGCACATGTGCCCTCCTGTTTTTCAGGCCCCCAATCCCAGACTTGAACTGTGCAGTCAGCCACCTGGGATCCCACTGCCTCATCCTCTGTGGAGAGCAGCCATGCCGTTGGCAAGACTAGAAATAAAAGGTTTTTTTCCTTTTTTTTTCTTTTTTTTTTTTTTAGAGAGAGATTTTTTTGCTATAGGGCTCGTGTGCTCACCAGAGAGACAGACAGAAAGCAAGAAATTACTCCTGGGGGGTGGGGAAGACAAGAGACAGACAGAAAGCAAGAAATTACTCCTGTGGGGTGGGGAAGACAGCCATGCAGTAGTCCCTTCTCCATTCTCCCCTTGAGATTTTTGGGCATGCATGCACATGTGCCTGGCTTGAGTTTCAGACTGCCAGGTCTGGGACTCCAGCCACAGTCAACCATGTAGGAGTCCAGCAAAATAACCATTATACCATCTGCTGGTCCCGAAATAAAGGTTTTCTATCTTGTACTTTTTCTTCTTTTTTTAAAGGACTTTCTATTTTATGTATTGTTCTTTGTTAGTTTGACTAGAGAGAGAGAGGGAGGGAGAGAAAGCAAGTCACCAGGTCCAGGACTTGAACCATGGTCAGCTGTGTGAGAGTCCGGCACCCTAACCACCATGCCACCTGCTGGCCCCATTTCTTTCTTTTTTAGTAATTACCGGAATCCTTTCAACAGACTTAGCCAGAGCTGGATTATAAGCCTAGTTCTCTAATTACTGGTAAGGGACACGAAACTATCCAGATTGGCTAACTTACAAAGATTTATCATCTGTGTCCCTAACCCTGAACATACTACCATTTGGTAAACTAGCAAGAAGGTAGAGTGTGGAGGTTGGGTGACTGATGGCCAACAGCAGTATCTGTAGATCTACTCTTTTGGGGGTGGGGGGTGGCATACATGCACATGAACCAGGAGTGTTTTTCAAACCGCCAAGTCCAGGACTCAACTGAGCTGTCAGCTGTGTGGGATCCAGCTGCCTTAACCTCCACACCATCTGCTGGCCCTAGACACACTTCTTTTTCCATATCATGTAGGTGTGCGTATGCCTTACTAATTGCACATGCTATGCACCATAACAAAGTGTCCTTCAGTTATACAAATGTATCGTTATTTTAAATAAATGATTTTTTTGGAAAGTTTGTTGGAGGGCATGTTGCTCACTGGAGAGAGAGAGAGAGAAAGCAACCCATGGGGCTGGCTGGTCACGCCACGGTCTCTTCTCTGTTTTGCCTACGGGATTCTGGCCCTGTGTACAAATGCACCCAACATGTTTCTCAAGCTGCCAGGTCTGGAACTCGAACTGCAGTTAGCCATGTGGGGTCCAGATGCCTTAATCACTATGCCACTGCCGGCCCGTGATCGCACCTTTTAAAGAGTTCCTGTCAGGACCGCAGCCGGGCGGTGTACAAGGAAGGAAGTGGTGACACTCCCTCCCCTCTATCTCCACTCCCTCACAGGAGCCGGGGGGGTGGGGGGCTCCCTGCACCCTGCTCCTTTGAATTTGGCCAAGCGCTGTGTGCCCACTGCTCATAGCTCAGATGGACACGGCGGCTGCAGCTGGCTCGCAAGCCCACGGTGCTGGTGAGCCCAGTGCAAGAGGCCAATGAGAATGGAACCCTGAGCACAGTTTGCCACAAACAGGACTGATGTGCTCACAGAAGGAACGGAGTGTGGATGTGAAAGAATGTAGGCCTTGGGGACCAGCAGGTGGCGTGGTGGTTATGGCGCTGGACGCTCCCACATGGCCAACCGCGGTTTGAGTCCCGCATCTGGTGGCTTGCTTTCCCACTTTCCCTCTGCGTTCTCCCCCCCCCAATCAAATTAAAATAAAAGAATGAATAAATAAAATTGAATAAATAATTCTTTTTAAAAAAATGAATGTAGGCCTTACTGCTCCCTTACCAAGACCAAATAAGAAGACACAGCGGTCTAGAAACCCCTCAGCAAACCATGAGGAGGGCAGGGCACCCTTACAGTTCCAGGGTAAGCTTTTGATTGTGACTCCTCACAGCCTCTTTGTGAGAACATCGTAAAGGGTCTGATTCACAGAGAAGCAGATGAGCACGCTACACAAGGTTTTTGCCATCGGGTAGATGTACTCATCACAGACAAACAGAGGGAAGGTGAAAAATCTCCCCTGTTAGGGGACGACCATGCTGCAATCCCCTCTTTTCCATTCGCTCAGGATTTAAAGCACACAAACACACTTGCCTAGCATGGTCGTCAAACCACCAGATCCAGGACTCGATCCATGGTCAGCCATGTGGGAGTCCGACACCTTGACCACCAGCCTTAGCTACTATGCCACCTGCTGGCCCGTAGTATTTTATTTTTATGTGCATAATTCATTCCAGTCATTGTTGCCAGAAGAATTTAACATTCTTGAACAAAACCACGTCTAAAAATCAGAAGGGTAATTCTAAATCAATGAAGGGGTGGAAAATAAGATGCTTAACCTAGGGAGATATGGGTGTTTTTTATTCTAGATCTAAGATTGTTTCTGAACCCAAACTAAAAGATATAAGCATTTGAAATAAAGATACAGATCCACCCCCCCCCAAAAAAAAGAGTTCCTGTAGAACAGTTACATTGATTTTGCTTTTAGGACTCTGAATATAACTTGTAGTATAATACAGTGTCATCGGAAAAGTCGTGGCATATATTTTCATGTTTTTGTATGCACAAGTGCATCACAACTTTCCCAACAACCTAATATGCAAGGTCAAATTGTTTAATTTATTCAACAAGTGTTTACTGGTTATATGGTGTCAGGCACTGTTCTCGGCGCTGGAGATAATAGTGAACAAAAGAGAGAGGGACAAACTTCTTTCGAGGGTCTCAGTGAGGAGTAAATAAGTGAATATGAAGTGCTTAGGTGGTTACCAGGGCCAAGGAGAAAAACATAGCAAGGTAAAGAAGACGGGGCGGATCAGGGTGAGGGCTGCTGCCCTGTGCCGGGTGATAGAGAAGGCTTGCTGATAGAGGACGTTTGAGCAGGGGCCGCAAGGAGATGAGAAGTGCGCTACGAGCTGCTCAGGGAAGGGCGTTCCAGGCAGACTAAGGCCAACGCCAAGGCCCCGAGGTAGGAGGCCGACGTAGCTGACGTGGAGTAAGCTAGGAACTAGGCCAGGTGGGGAGCGGTGTAGATTGTTCTGGGGTCTCGCTGCTCAGGGTGCCCTCCTCCGGTGCAGCATTAGTGTCACGATCTAGGAGCTTGTTTGAAATGCAGGATGTCAAGGACTATCCCAGGTGACCGAGTCCCTAATCTGTATTTCAGAAGGTTCTCCAGGTAGCTTGGAAGCGAGATGTACGTTTGAGGAGCCCTGATCTCTAGAGCCTTGTAGGGTACAGTGAAGACTTTCCTTTCAGTGTGAGTGAGCTTGAAACACACTGCATTTTGATCACTGGAGTGACGTGATCTGACTCTTTGAAAGTATCACTGTTGGGCCAGCCAGGTGGTGTGGTTAAGGTGGCTGGATCCCACATAACTGACTGCAGTTCAAGTCCCAGACCTAGCAACTTGAAAAACGCACTAGGCATGTGTGCATATGTACCAATACCAAGAAAGAATGGAGGAGAAGGAACTGCCCCAAATCCCAACAGGACGGAGAAGGGATGGCAATATGACCACACCCATTAAGGGTACTTTCTCCCTCTCCCTCTGTCTGTCTCTGGTGGCTGCATATTCCCTCTGACATTAAAAGAGACTAAGGAGGGGGCCAGCAGGTGGCATGGTAGTTGAGGCGCTGGACTTCTCACAGGGCTGACTGTAGTTCGGTTCAAGTCCCAGACCTGATGCCCTTCACGCACTCTCTCTCTCTCTGGGTCTTTCTTTGGCAAATGCACGTGAAAATAATAATAAAGAAATAAAAGAAATAATTCATTTTTTATTCTTAAAGTTACTTTATTTAACTTTATTTATTATTATTATTTTCCAGTTTGATTAGAGAGACAGAGAGAGAGAGGGGGAAAGTGAGAAAGCAACCTACTAAGTCCAGGACCTAAACCGTGATCTACCACCTGGGAGTCCAGCGCCTTCAACCACTATGCCACCTGCTGCCCCTAAAATGAATCATTCTTTAAAAAAATAAATAAAAACTAAGACAGGGACCAGTGGAGAGCTTAATGGCTATGTCGTTGGACTCCCATGTAGTTAACCGCGGTTCTAGTCCCAGACCTGGTGGCTTAAAACTCACGCAGGACGTGTGTGCGTGTGTCCAAGATCCCGAGAGAAAAACAGAGACAGGATTGCAGCGTGGCCATCCCCGGGGGCAATTTCTCGCTTTTTGTCTCTCTGGCAAGTGCACGCACACTATAGCAAAAACTTCTCTAAAAAAAGAGAAAATAATAAGACAAAGATTGGAGGAGACTGAGACAGAACAGCTAAGTGCACTGTGGGACCCGGGCCCGAGAAAGGGCATACACAGGACAATTGGCAAAACCCAAATAGGGTCTGTTGCTCAGCAGTGATGAGCCAATGTGCATTTACTGTTCAGAGTAGACACTTGTACTGTGGCTTTATAGGGTTCTACTTATTTATTTATTTTTAGAGAGATTTTTGCTATAGGGAGTGTGTGCTCGCCAGAGAGACAGAAAGTGAGAAATCACCCCCCAGAGGGGATGACCACCCCACAGTCCCTTCTCCTCTTCTCGTTTTGGGATCTTGGGCACACACGCACACACACCGGGCATGAGGTTAAGCCGCTGGATCTGGACTCGAACCGCGGTCGACTACGTGGGATCCTGGCAGTGTAACCATTATGCCATCTGCTGGTCCCAGTTATATAGGACTGTAACTATCTGCGTAGAAAGTACAGGAGCTCTACTCCTTTTGCCACTTTTTTGTAATTTCAAAATATATTTTAAAGGGACCAGCAGCTTTTTTCCCACAAAACAAATATAACATTGGCCCAGCCAGTGAGTGGTTGTCGAGGTGACTGGATCCCACATGACCAGCCGCGCAGTTCAAGTCTTAGAACAGGTGGCTTGAAAGCACACTGGGGGAGAGGGGCAGCAGGTGGCATGGTGGTTAAGGGCACTGGACTCCCACATGGCTGACTGTGGTTCGAGTCCCGAACCTGGCAGTTTGCTTTTGCTTTCTCTTTCTCTGTCCCTCTCTGGTCAAATTAAAATAAATAAAGTTAAATAAAATAATTCTTTAAGGAAAAAAAGAAAAAGAAAAGCACACTGAGTGTGTGTCCATGCGTGCCCAAAGTCCCTGGAGGGGAAGGGATTGTAATGTGGCCACTCCTCCTGGGAAATGCATTCTTTCTCTCTCTCTCTGTCCCCAGCAAGCACATGTGCCCTATAACAAAATTCTTTAAAAAAAGAAAAGAATGATAAGTTACATTGAAATGTGCAATATCCTTTTGTGATTTTACCAATGAAAGCAATAAGCCTGGTTTTCTTCCATGGATAAAATTCACCGAAAAGGCCTCTCTCCCTTCCTCATTGCTCGTGTCTTCCTTCCCTGTAGCATTTCAGGCGGCCTTCCGAGCTCAGGGGCCTCTGGCTATTCTGGAGCACTTTGATACCATCTACAGCATTTTACAGTGAGTAAGATACCCAGCTGGTTCTCCCTCCTCCTCTTTGTCTTCCTCCTTTTCCTCTTCCTCTTCGTCGTCCTCCTCCCCCTCCTCCTCTCCCTCCTCCTTCTCTTCTTCTTCCTCTCCTCCTCCTTCTCTCCTTCTTCCTCTTCTTCTTTTTCTCTTCTCCTCATCCTCCCCCTCCCCCCACTGATTTTGAGCACGCACACACACACACACACACCTGGCATGACTTTAAAGCTACTGGATCTGGGACTTAAATCATGCAACTAGCCATATAGGGTCCAGTGCCTTAACCTCCATGCTACCTGCTGGCCCCACTCAGCTGGTACTTGATTATTATTATTATTTTCACTATCATTATTATTTCTTTTAGACAGATTTTTGGCCTAGAGTGAATTTACTCACCAGAAATAGAGAAAAAATGAGAAATCACTCCCTGGGGCTGGAACTCAACTGCATTAGGCCTTGTGGGAGTCCAGAGCCATAACCACTACGCCACCTGCTGGCCTCGTTCCAGCTGGTACTTTAAAAAGAATTGGTGGTGGGGCCAAGGGGTGGCCGGTGGTTAAGGTGGTGGATTTTCGCGTGGCTGACTGTCCTTTGAGTCCCGGACCTGGTGGCTTATTTTCTCACTTTCCCTATCTCTTTCTTTCTCTTTGTTTCTCTCTGGTTAAATTTTAAAAATAATAATAATAACAAAATTAAATAAATGAGTAAAGAAAAAAAGAATTGGGAGCTATTTGCCCTAACTTGACATATTAGTCTGACATTTCATGATAAATGGTTCTTGGTGCTAGGGGCTGGCAGGTGGTGTGGTGGTTAAGGCCACTGGATTCCCACATGGCTGACTGTGGTTCGAGTCTTGTACCTGCCTGGCAGCTTGCTTTCTCACTTTCTCTCACTCTGCCCCTCACTGGTCAAATTAAAATAAGTAAATAAATAAATAAAGTTAAATAAAATAATTCTTTTTTTAAAAATGGTTCTCTGTGCTAGTATCTCTACTGATGAATATTTACCCAACTTGCTATCACATTTATTCAGCTGAACATTTCCACGAGTGAAATGATAATTTATTTCATTTTGTTTATCACTGTTATTACTTTCTTAAGGTGCTGGACTTCCACTTGGCTAACCATGGTTCTAGTTAGGGCTCTGGTGTCTTGCTTTGTCACTTTGCCTCTCTCTGTCTCTTTCTGGTGAGCGCAGATGCCTTGTAGCACATTCACGTGTATTTTTAAGCACCGGGTTCCTCCGGTCAGAGCTGATCTCAGAATGGACCCTGCAGGTTCCCCTCTCACCTGCTCACTTTCTGTTCCTCACAGTCACTTCCGAGGTATAGATCCTGGCCTCAAGGAAGATACCCTGGAGTTCCTGATAAAAGGTGTTAATGGGCCGGGGCTGGGAGGTGGGAGGCGTGTAGCCTACCCTGCACTCGCTCGCCAGCCAGGTGATGATAACCAGGCTGCTGTGACTCGGCTGGTCGGGCCGAGCCCAGGGACCTCTGACCCGTTGAGGTCTGTAATCTTGGTGGGTGATACAGAGTGGTGTGCATTCGCTGTAAGGGCAGACCAACAAGAATGTTGTCCTACTTTTGAACTACTTCTCTTTAACGTAAGAGATTCTCCCAGTTGCCAGGAAGGAATTGCGGTAACTGGAGTGAGAAGGTGGGAACAGGGCATGTTCTGGGTCTCAGGATCAGGGGTCCCTAAGGACTCAGCCGGCGTGGTGGCCACCGAGAGATGAGGCACAGATCTTTGGTAATCTGATGGCGGCGAGAGCTGGGTGTTTCTAGGTTGGGGTATGTGAAGAAGGTGAACGAGACCAACACCCAGATTCTGCCCCTCACAGTGGTGTCCCGCCACTCCCAGGAACTTCCGGCCATTCTGGAGGACGCAGCTCTGAGTGTGTCAGAGAGAAGTGCCCATCTGAATGCCCTCAAAATGAACTGCTACGCTCTCATACGCCTCCTGGAATCCTTCGAGACCATGGCCAGCCAGTCAAGCCTCGTGGACCTGGACCTTGGCGGGAAGGTGATTTGGTGTTCCGGCTCACGCCACAGGCCCCAGGGGGACTAGGAGTGACGGGAAGAAGGGGATCCAAGGTTCTGTGCATCCTTTCTGTCCTCCTTCAGGTTAGGAGGAAGCTCTTAGACGTACCGGTCTTCCCTCCCTGACGAGTAGCTGTTCTGCGTTGTGGAACTTGTCCTACTTCCCTGTCCCATCTCCTTCACTTGAAGCTGGGCAGTTGGAGGGCTCAGGCCGGCAGGTCTGGCCTGCCTTCGCTTCTCCTCTTTCCTAAATGGACGCTTGATCCTCTTCAGGGTAAGAAGGCTCGGACCAAGACATCCCACGGCTTCGACTGGGAAGAGGAGAGGCAACCAGTTCTTCAGCTCTTAACACAGCTTCTCCAGTTAGACATCCGTCACCTGTGGAACCACTCGGTAATGGAAGAGGAGTTCGTTAGGTGGGTAGTTAAGCTGTGGAGAGCGAGGGCTCTTATTGTTAGATACGCCTCTCTCTTTTTTTTTTTAACTTTATCTTTCATGAGAAAAAGAGAAACATAAATACCCTCAACAAGGCCTCACACCCTGATCCCCCCAGCCTTCCCAGACAGCCAGGGTTGTGGAGCACATGCCGGGCAAGGTCAACCAGGGCCCTGGACCCCAGGCTTCCGTATGGTCCAGCTTGTCTCGAGCAGCCTGTGACTGCTGTGCTGAGCCAGCTAGGTCAGCTTTTGCAGGGCTTCATTTCATGCCTCATTGCATCTGTAATTCACAGAAGTGTACGTGGCGTTGTTAGGAAGTAGACTGTGGAATGTTAGAAGCTGATAGGGGGCCGGCAGGTGGCATGGTGGTTAAGGGCACTGGACTCCCACATGTCTGACTGCAGTTTGAGTCCCGGACCTGGCGACTTGCTTTCTCACTTTCTCTCTCTTGTTCTTACTCTTACTCAGACCCTCTCTGGTCAAATTAGAATAAATAAAGTTAAAATAATTCTTAAACAAAAAAAGAGAGAAAAAGAAGTTGTTATAGGGCCAGCCCCACGGCCTAATGTTAAAGGAGCCAGTTCCCATGTACCACCTGCATGGTTCAAATCCTGGACCCAGAGATGTGTTCTTGCCCAGAACCCCTGAAGAGGATGGAGACATGGAGGGGAGAGGGATATGTTGTGACCATGCTCCATTAGGGGTGCCTTCTCCCACTCCCGCTCTCTGGCAAGTTAACATGCCCTTTAGAGAATTAAATAAAAGGGAAAAAAATGCAGCTGATAGGTATTTTCACCTCTGATACTCATTTAATCATGAACAGTACTTAGTGAGACTCCTAGGTATGTGACTGGCATTATAGAAAACAAAAGTTTCTGTCTCGTGGCGTTTATATTGTAGGATAGAAGGCCATTTTTAAATAGGTGAAATGTGTAGTTTATCATGCATTACTGTGGAGCAGCATAGGAAGAGGATGGCAAGTCGGGTGGAAAACGGTTGGGTTTTAATTAGCCATTCTCAGTTATGGGGCCTCTTTGAGAGGGTGACATTTGAGCAAAGACCCAGAACTGGTGAATGAGACTTAATGAGAATAATTGGGGGGGAGGGGGAACAGTGAGCGCGAAGCTCCTGAGGCGGGAGTGTGCCCAGTATGTAGACGTATCGCAGGGACGCCAGAAAGATGGCGGTGACGGTAGGCCGTGAGGTCAGGAGAGCAGTGGGGAGCCAAGCCACACCTCGTAGGCTGCCGTGGTGACGTTGTCCTTTTCTGGGAGGTGGGGTCCCTGGGGCATTCCAGGCAGGGCAGCAAGGTGATGTCACCTGCACTTCAGGGTCACCCTAGGAAAACGGGATCAGTTCAGAAGCTGGCCTAGTAACTCAAGAGGACTTCAGGATTGGCAGAAAGGTTGGGTGTGAGGCGTAAGGAAGGGCTCAGTCCAGGGTGCCTCTCTCAGCCAAAGCCTGGTCATTGGGAAGAATGGAGTTGACAACTAAGATGTGGAGAAGGCCATGGATACAAGTGTCCAGAGAAGATGAGAAGTTCAGTTTTGGACCCACAAAGTTTGAGTTTGTTCTTTCTTAGTTTTGCTATAAGGGCACATGTACTTGCCCGAGAGAGAGAGAAAGTGAGAAAGTATCCCCCAAGAGGAACAGCCACACCGTAATCCCTTCTCCCCCATTCTCCTCTTGGGATTTAGGGCACACATGCGCACTTGCCCAGCATATTTTTCAAGCAGCCAGGTCCAGGACTCAGACCATGGAGTGGTTCTTATTAGGCACCCTAATAAAGCTGTCAGATTTGGCTGTTAAACATACAGATCTGGAGTTCAGGGGAGAGGTCTGGGCTCGAGTTACACATCTGGGAATGTAATGGTGTTTAATTTAAAGTAAGGAGCTGAGAAGGAACCGGCCAAAGCTACCCCACAGAGACACTGGTGGCGTGGAAGCCATGAGAAGGATGTTTCAAGGAGAAAGTGAGAGCCCAGTCTTTCCAAATGCAGCTGCAAGGTCCTTCCGCTGAGCATGAACCAGCCACTGGACTGAGCAGTGAGCAGTCGGCAGTGACTTTGTCCTGCTTTTTATCAACAGATGGGGGCTGTGTTGGCATGGCAACCAGCCGCAAGCTGGTAATCTTGAAGGAAAGAGTACCTATCTGGCCAAGGCAGCTTGGTGAAGGTGATAGATAGAATGCAAAGAATTCAAAACCAGAGGCCCCTGATTTCAGGGGCTGTCAGCATAGTGCAAACGAGGCAGGGACCGATGCGATTTAATCCAACAGCTGGTCTCATCTCAACCGCTTCCATTCGCAGTTTGGTTACTGGCTGTTGCTACCGCCTCCTGGAGAACCCCACCATTAGTCACCAGAAGAACCGCCCCACCCGAGAAGCCATAACACACCTGCTTGGTGTGGCCCTAACGCGCTACAACCACATGCTCAGTAAGTCGTCCCCGTGCCTCGCCCCTCGGCCCTGCCTGCGTGGCCCTCACGTGTGGTACTTCACAGGTGCCACCGTGAAGATCATCCAGATGCTGCAGCACTTTGAGCACGTGGCGCCGGTGCTGGTGGCGGCCGTGAGTCTGTGGGCAACCGACTACGGAATGAAGAGCATAGTGGGAGAGATCGTGAGGTACCAGCGCTCCTCAGAGTGACCCCGAGGAGACGGAGTGGGACAGTGCTGTCTGTGCAGCTGTAGGCTCCTCCAGACACATCCCGTCTCCCTGCGCGTCCTGGAAGCTGACACTCGAGCTGCCTTGCTAAGGCTGTGTTTTCTGCCCCGTTTTTTTAGGAGGGTCCCCAGGAGCTGAGTCGGGACTCTTCAGGGGCGAAGGGCTTCGCAGCCTTCCTGACGGAGCTGGCAGAGCGAGTCCCGGCCGTGCTCATGTCCAGCGTGTGTGTGCTGCTGGATCATCTGGATGGAGAGGTCGGTGGTCCCCTGGGGACTCTAAGGTTCATCTTGGGGGTTTAAGTGCATCGTCGAGCGGCTATTTCTTTCTCTATTTTTCTTTTGTAGAATTATTTATTTGGGGGCCAACAGGTAGTGTGGTGGTTAAGGGTGCTGGACTCCCACATGGCCGACCAGAGTTCACTTACTTTCTGTCTCTTTGTCTCTGTCTTTCTGGCAAGCGCACATGCTTTATAGCAAAAACCTCTCCAAAAAATAAAATAAAATAAATAAATAAATAAATATAAAGTTAAATAAAGTAATTCTTTTAAAAAAAAAAAAAAGACACTGAACTCCCACACTGGCTGACTTCATTTTGAGTTCCAGACCAACTGAAACTCACACCAGGCCTGTGTGTGTGCGTGCCCAAAATCCCAAGGAGAGAATGGAGGAGAAGGGATTGTGATGTGACCATCCCCCGGGGGGTGATTTATTGCTTTCTGTCTCTCTGGTGACCACATGCGTGCACCCTATAGCAAAAATCTATCTAAAAAATAAAAAAGAAGAATTATTTATTTTATTATTTAATTTGCTATAGGACATGTGCACTCACCAGAGAGAAAGTGAAAAAGCAAGCCAAGTCCAGGACTTCAACCATGGTCAGCCATGTGAGAATTCAGCATCCTAACCATAACACCACCTGCTAGCCCCTAGGGGCTACAAGAAAGTAGACAAGCTGTAACAATTCATCCTTGTAAAAAAGCTGATTAAGTGTATTGATTAAGGAGCCCTTTTCTGTTTTTTTTTTTTTTTTTTTTTTCTGTTTGTTGTTTTGTTTTGATTTTTTGGAGGGGAGGGGGGAGTGGTTTTTTTGGTTGTTATAAGCACGTGCACTTGCCAGAAAGAGAGAGACAGGGACAGAAAGCAAGAAATCACCTCCCGGGGGGGATGGCCATGCTGCAATCTCTTCTCCATTCTTCTCCTGGAATCTTGTGCATGCATGCACATGCGCCCGGCATGAGTTTAAGCCCCTGGGTCTGGGACTTGAACCACAGTCAACTACATGGGAGTCCAGCAACATAGCCATTACGCCATCTGCTGGTCCCTGTTTTGTTTTGATTTTAAGGAGCCCTTTATTTATCTTAGTGTTGTGTCACATTTAGGGGAGATGACAGACAAATCTAGTAAGAATGACTCAGCTTCGATTTTTTTTTTTTAACCGAGAACATTTATCGCCTGACTTAATCATTGAAATCCTTAAGATGAACCAGATGCCGCAACAGCTGCTCTCTTGGGTTTGGGTGTTGTTCCTTCACGGAATCCATGCCCAAATCTGTGGTATGCAACTTTTAGGTGCCTCATTCGACCAGTCCCAGTGGTACTGCGTCTTTTAGCCCTGGCACTCCAGTTAGACTTTCTCTTGCGCTTAGCAGGGTAGCCACATTTGGCACAGGTCGACTTCTGAAGGTGACAGGCCTTAGAACCACAGCGGCGGCACAACATGTGCGTCTTACTGCGACGCTTCCCAAACGATGACGTTCCCTTCGTCATCTCGCTCCTGTGGCTGAGACCAAAGAGCGACTCAGCTTTGATTCTAAGCCCCATCCTTTCCTCAGGGTAAAGCCTCCTCCTACCATCTGGTGTGCCTTACTTTTTTTTTTTTAAAAAAGAATTATTTAATTTAATTGTATACATTCATTTATTTTAATTTGACCAGAGAGAGAGAGAGGGAAAGTGAGAAAGCAAGCCACCAGGTCCGGGACTTGAATCATGGGCCGCATGTAGGAGCGTCCAGTGCCTTAGCCACCACGCCACCTGCTGGTCCCTGGTGTGCCTTACTTTCTCTAAACAATGAACTGTTCCAGGCCAACCCATGTCACCTCTCAGTCCCTCGTCCCCGAGTGCTAACCCGGCTGCTTCCCAGCTTGATGCTGGGCGCTTCTGGGTGCATGTCAAGAACAAAGGCTGTCTACGTGAACATCTCATTTACTTCCATTCTTGCCCAAGACCCTGTTTTGCTGTGTCTCATTTTCTGTCAAATGTGGGCAGGAGAGTGGGCAGGAAGGGAGTCTTTACTAGTAAGGATGAAGCCCTACGAGACCCGGGTGAAAGGTAGTGCCTGCTGTTCAGAAGCGTGCCGTCGGATGGTTGTGGTTGCACGCTCAGCTACCCCCTTGCTTACCTGGGTGAGCCTTGTGGGGGGAAATTGATTGGGACCCTTAGTCATTTTGTGCCCTATTGTCCTGTGTGCACAAGTCACCTCTTGGACGCAGCTTACCCCTCTGACCTCGGGGGTGCGTACCTCGTCGGTTGCCCGGGGAAGTCCTAACTAAGCAGTTCGGGCCTTGTCCGCTCTGTGCCCGTCCGGCACCGGGACTGAGGGAGAGGAGAGTCGGCGTGGCGTACAGAGGCGCAGCACCTCTCCCTCTCCCAGAACTACATGATGCGCAATGCCGTGCTGGCCGCCATGGCAGAGATGGTGCTGCAGGTGCTGAACGGCGACCAGCTGGACGCGGCAGCCCGGGACACTAGAGACCAGTTCCTGGACACCCTGCAAGCCCACGGCCACGACGTCAACTCCTTCGTGAGGAGCCGTGTTCTGCAGCTCTTCACCCGGATCGTCCAGCAGAAGGCAAGCGACCGTTTATGTGAGAAGCATATGGGCCCCCCCCGTACTCAAGCCAAGTAAAGAGGGACCCAGCGTGTGCCCCTAAAGAGCCGAGAGTTCAGGATTTTACTACCTGTGGTCCAGGTCTTCCTCCACGGGCCTCGGCGCCAGCTCCACTAAGGACCGCTGGTGTCTTACCCACTGCGCATTTGATGGCCCATAGAAAGCTTGCTGGGAGTGCATGGGTAGCCCAGGCCCGAGTGTACTTCAGGGCCATCCTGAGAGTGGGTGTTGAGCGATGTGAGCCGATCCTCTTCCTGCCCACGTAGGCGCTCCCCCTGATGCGTTTCCAGGCAGTGGTGACCTTAGCAGTGGGACGTCTAGCGGACAAGTCGGTGCTAGTTTGTAAAAACGCCATCCAGCTGCTGGCCAGTTTTCTGGCCAATAATCCCTTTTCCTGCAAGGTAAGTAGACTCGGCCCGTCCAAAAGAGAGGGGATGACGTGGCCACAGGATGACGTGAGTGATGCTGGTGCTCCTTTCACCTCCACAGCTTAGCGAGTCTGACCTCGCTGGACCTCTGCAGAAGGAGACTGAGAAACTGCAGGCCATGAGGGCTGCCCAGCGCCAGGCTGCAGCTGCTCGTGAGTGTTTCCCGCCCAGGTATCCTCCCCAGCCTCCCTGCGTCAGGAAGCGCAGGGAGAGGTGCTTAGTAAACTCCCGTTCGCAGCGCTGGATCCGGAGGAGGAGTGGGCAGCCATGCTGCCGGAGCTGAAGTCTACCTTGCAGCAGCTTCTAGCGCTCCCCCAGGAGGAAGAGGTGGCTCCTGTACAGATCGCTAACGCAGAGACCGCTGAGGCCGTGAAAGGCCGCATCCGTCAGCTGCTTGCCAGGGCTAGTTACAAGTACGTGCTACTCTGCTATGACCAGGTTAGGGTCAGCGTTCACCTCTGAGAAGCTTGGACAGTGCTGCTTTAAGACAAGCTGCAGGGCCGGCTCTGGGGCCTGGTGCTTAAAGCAACAGGGATCCCACATACCTGACCGTGCATCTCTAATCCCAAATCCAGCTTCTTGAGAAACATGCTGGGCACGTGTGTGTGTGTGTGTGTGTGTGTGTGTGTATGTGCCCAAATCCCGGCAGGGTGGAGAAATGGAGAAGGGATTATGGTGTGCCCATTCCCTGTGGGGGGGTGCTTTCTCTCTCTCCCTTCCTTCTCTCTTTGTGTCTCTGTGGTGAGCACACCTGCCCTCTGACAAGAATGAAAAATAAATGAATAAGGGCCAGCAGGTGAAATGATGGTTGTGGCACTAGACTCCCACATGGCTGACTGAGGTTCAAGTCCCAGACCTGGTGGCTTGCTTTCTCACTTTCCCTCTCTCTCTGTCTCTCTGATCAAATTAAAATAATAAGAGTAATAATAACAATATAATTTCTTATAAATAAATAAAACGAACAGTATTTTGGTCTAACCAAAGTGGTCTCAGGTAGCACCCTTGTGAGAGGCCAGAAGCCCCTCGAGAGGCTGAGCTCAGCTGCGCATCCATAGCCTTGGCTGACCGGCGGGCTGGGGCAGGAGGGCTGCAGTGCCGGACCTCTTTGTCTGCCTGCCTCTCTCCACCACCCACCCCACCCACCTGGTAAAGGGAGCAGGGAGGCGGGGCACTTGCTCACGCTGCCGCTGGACGGTGAGTATTTTCACCATAGTAACTCTGACCACAGCAGCATCCACGCTTGAGCTTGCTTGTCTGCTTTTGTATGTGTTGACAGAGGGCCAGCAGATGGCGTGTGGTTAAGGCACTGGACTCCCATGCGGCCAACCGCAGTTTGAGTCCCGGACTTGGCAGCTTGTTTTCTCACGTTCCCAACAGGGCATGGTCACACTGCAATCCTTTCTCCTCCGTTTCTTCCTGACAGTATTCTGGGCTCATGTACACGCATCCAGTGTATTTTTCAAGCCACGGAGGCCACTGTTCAAACTGCAGTTAGCCATGTGAGATCCAGCTCTCTTAAGTCCTGAGCTCCAGGTAAATTCACAGTAATGGCAGGTTTCACCCAGCGACCAGCAGTCTCCCGCCTGCTTTCCATATAGCGTGCTGTGTGTGTGGCCTCTGTGGCTTTTCCTCACAGGTCCTGGGCCGCTGACGTTCTTATCCTCCCTGCTTGGTCGATAAGGAAGCAGGCCAGGCCAGGCAGCTGTGCCACATACACACAGCTAGGAAATAACAGTCGGCCCGAGTCTTCAGGTTACAGATCCAGAGTTGTTTCTGCTTCTAATTACAAATTTACACTTACATTAGGACAAAACTTTTCTTTTCTTTCTTTCTTTCTTTTTTTTTTAATAAAGAGAGATTTTTGCTGTAGGGTATATGTGCTTGCCAGGGAGACAGACAGACAAAGCGAGAA